CTACTCACATGCGCGTGAATTGAATGAACTATGACCCGTACAATCTCGATTTGCATATTGTCAATCAAAGGTCCTGTTATTTGCTTACTCATGCAAATTAGGCAATTGGACATAAACATTGCCACGTGTGAGTGTTTTTTATTTTTAAACAGAAAATAAACAGCAATTTTAACGGTGTTCCAATAAGAAATTATTGGTCAAATTTTCACAGAATGTTCTTTAGATAAAAATCTATATAAACAACGAAAAAAACTATTTTTGATTGAAATTCACAAATAAACTGCATCTCTACCTTAAGCGGCGATATTTCGTTCAAACGTTATTCTGATCCTGTTTTCAACAAACGTCATGTCTCTAGTTCGCTGGTTAAAGAAAGTTAATTCTCCTCGAACTCCTGGTCTGCCTGATCCGAATCTCTGTACAACAGAAGAAGAAGCCACGTCAACTCAAGCCGCCAATGATCAAATCGATCAACTTGTGGCCACTTCATCAACCCGTCGAAAAAGAAAACGAGGCCAGTACAGTTTCTACAACGCTGAAACTCGAGCTAAAATAGCGAAGTCTTCAATCGAAATTGGCGTAATGAAGACATCGAGAAAATTCAGCAAAGAGTTGAACATAAACGTGAACGAAAGCACAGTTCGATATGGAAAGCCGTAACTGTCTTAGATGCACTATAACTATTATATTCTGATCACTTGCCTTTATATTCTGATAAAACTTTATTATATTCTGATCAAACGTTATTATACTCTGATCAAATGTAATTATATTCTGATCAAACGTTATTATATTCTGATCAAATGTTATTATGTGCTGATCAAACGTTATTATATTCTGATCAAACGTTATTATGTGCTGATCAAACGTTATTATACTCTGATCAAACGTTATTGTATTCTGATCAAACGTTATTATATTCTTATCAAACGTTATTATATTCTGATCAAACGTTATTATATTCTAATAACACTTTATTATATTCTGAACAAATGTTATTATATTCTGATCAAACGTTATTATATTCTGATCAAACGTTATTATATTCTGATCAAACGTTATTATATTCTAATAAAACTTTATTATATTCTGATCAAATGTTATTATATTCTGAT